TTATAGAGACGGGGTTTCACCATGTTGACCAGGATGGTCTTGATCTCTTGACCTCGTGATCCACCCGCCTCGGCCTCCCAAAGTGCTGGGATTACAGGCTTGAGCCACCGCGCCCAGCAAAAGCTAATTTTTGTATTTTTAGTAGAGACGGGGTTTGGCCACATTGGCCAGGCTGGTGACAAACTCGTGACCTGAGGTGATCCATCTACCTCAACCTCCCAAAGTGTTGGGATTACAGGCATGAGCCACCACGCCTGGCTATTTCAAAATGAATGAAAAAGCCTCTGCTGGCACGGTGGCTTACTCCTGTAATTCCTGCACTTTTGGGAGGCTGAGGCTGGAGGATTACTTGAGGCCGGGAGTTCAAGACCAGCCTGGGTGACATTGTGAGACCTCATCTCTACAAAAAAAATTCTTTTAAAGAAAATTAGCTGGGTATGGTAGCGCATGCCTGCCTGTAGTCCCAGCTACTTGGGAGGCTGAGGCAGGAGAATAGCTTCAGCCCGTGAAAGTGAGGCTGCAGTGAGCTATCATTGTGCCACTGTACTCCAGCCTGGGTGACAAAGTAAAACCCTGTCTTTGTTGAGTAATATCAACACCAGTAAACATTTATTAGCGCTGCTCAGGCACCAGGTTCTGTACCAAATGCTAACCATGTGTCATCTCTTTTAAATCTTCCAACAATATCAGCTACTTGGGAGGCTGAGGCAGGAGAATTGCTTGAGACCCAGAGGTCAAGGCTGCAAGTGAGCTATGATCGTGCCCCTGTACTCCAGTGTGGGTGACAGAGCAAGAGTGAGACCCTGTCTCCAAAATGACAAAAAAGCAAATAAACATTCTTCTAACAATCTTGGGTAGATAGAGTATTAATTTTTCTTTTCTTTTTTTTTAGAGAAAGAAAGAAAGAGAAAGAATAAGGGGGAGAGAGAACAGGATTCTTGCTCTTATTACCCAGGCTGGAATGCAATCTAAAAATAGGTAATAAAAACCTCTTTTATGCCGATAATTGTACCTAACAATGGAGACAGGAAGGAATGAGGGAATAAAATAAGAAACAAACAGCCAACCAATATTTCATTTAAGTCTGTGAGATACTATGCAAATGCTAAAGAGTGATTTACTTCCAATTATGTGGTCACTTTCAGAATAGGTGTAATATGATACTGAGAAAAATGTATGTTCTGTAGACCTGGGGTGGTGAATTCTATAAATATTCACTGAGTTTGCTTATTCCAGGTCTAAATTCAGATCATAGATGTCCCTATTAATTTTCTATCTCGTTGATCCGTCGAACATTAACAATGTGATGTCAAAATCTCCCGCTATTATTGTGCGGGAGTCCAAGTCTCTATAAGTCATTAAGATCTTGTC